TGTTCCTGAGAAACCATGCCACCAGCCAGCCCATTTATCCATGCAACCCTGGGTTCATAGGCCCATACTTCTCCCTTTCCTGCCCTGCCATTTCCTCCAGAGGAGCACTGGGACTCTCTCTCAGCAGGACTGTGAGAGATGTACGAGGACATGGAAGCATCAAACGTACCCCACACTCAGTTTCTGCCTTCTCCCAGAGCCAGCTTTACTTTGTGCATTGTGGGCTCTGCTCCACATATGGGTCTGTCCAATGCTCCAGCAAGGTGGTAGGAAAAATTGGCCATGGATGATGGTCTCCACAGGAGGATTTCAGACAAAATCGGATGGGATTTATCAAGACAAGTCCAACTACAAAGAGAGGATGTGCTCATTTCCAGCTAATATGTCTGCGATAAGCCAAAGATCATAATAAAGAACAATAAAAACCTGTAAGGATTGACACCAGTGACATTTATGCAGCTAAAATTTTGCACAACACTGTGAGCATGTACAGCAAAAATTCTTGAAACACAAAAGAAGAGAAAGAGAGCTGAACCGAGACCCATCCTCTGCTCTCTCCCGTGAAAGGAGGCATTGCTGGGAATTCTGGGCACTGGGCAAATTAAAACCAGCTTTTCAGCCCAAACTACAAGCTTCTTGGCTTTTCTGCGTGTAAATCAGATCCTTACATTATCTCAGTGTCATTTTGTGGCTGAAAGCAATTCAGCAACTATCAGCACAGCCAGACTGAAATTCAGCAGAACAGGATCTGAGCACTTCAGCTCTTAATGATTAGATGTTTCTGTGGAAATTAATCTTACAAAAAAATGAAGTTCGGCAGAAAGTTGACAGCATGTTGAGACCACAGAAGGGAGAGGAACTTTACAACTTGGCCTTCACATTTTCCACCTATAAGATTTCAGCATTTGCTAAAGTTGTAGTGAGGGCAGCTTCTTCACAGTGTTCCCTCTGGGAAATATCACATTCAGCAATTCCTGAATTACAGTTTCTAATTATATTTTCATACTGTAATGCTGTCTGAAATGCAAATTTGATGACAGAATAATTCAATCCATGTAAAATAATTACAAAATTACTGTTTCTCAAACCTCAACTCATACTCCCTGCTATTTAAGTAGATAAATTTAACAGCAGCAAAAGTACAGCCAAAACATAGTCTATTTTTTTTAACTGTTATCTGACTATAACTGTCTGCATAGATTTTGGCTCACCATGGAAGATTATTTCTAAAATATGACTACCAAAAACATTCCAGAGTTAGGATTTTTGTTACTTTAGCTTGGAACTAACAATCAGGTCAACTTTTGTGTGGCAGTCAGAGTGCTGTACACATGGCATCTGTGTTTAATTGGAAAAGCAACTGTTGACTAAAATGCCAAATCTCTACTGCAGCTCAGTTATCATTTAAACAAGTTGTTGCAGGACATTGACTTAGCACAACGTAATGATTTTTAGCAGGGTGGAAACCAACTTCTGCAATATGTAGTTTAAGAGCCTGAAACTCAGTACTGCTACATCAATTCCCACTGCCTGAAACAATTTCCCCCCCGTATGGGGGATGTTATCCCCCTCCCAATATTGCCTTGAGTAGTGGCTAGGACCTTTAAAAAGATAGCAGAAATCCCATTTTGTTTGAAAAAATACGAGAAGGAGTCAGTGTTCTGTGTTGCAAGTTTTTTTTAGGCTTTATTATGCTTCCAGCCTAAATTTAGATTGTCATTGCCCATCAACTCAAGCAGATCAAGGTAGAGCACACTAAAGGCTTGAGTGCGTTATTATTACTAGGCTAGAGGCATCAACAGCTCGTGTCTGTTTTTTAATTTCCCTAGCTGCATCCAGTTGTGTGAAAAGTGACTCCAGAAGATCTCAGTCCTGTTTTCAGTCAGGGTCTCTCCTAAGGTGAAGTGCTCCAGTTCCTCAGGAATTGCTGAGGAAATCGTCTACCTTCTCCTCAGACAAGAAGACTGTTGGAAGACATCGCCTCCTCCTCGTATTCGTACATTTGCAGCAGAAGGCTGCTGGGAGGTATGAGGGTCAACCTGACCTCCCCAGAAAAAGGTGGAGCATCACCAAGCCTGTGTGCATCTCATTTTTTTTCTCTTTATATCAGAGGATTTTCGAGTCCCAGTAAGCCAGCAGTGTAACAGTTGTGGTGTTGGGCAGAAGGTGAGGGACGGGCTGCAGCCGCCTTCCCCTGCTCTTGGCAGGAGGAAGGAACCTACAGGCTGTTTGATCTTTTCTCATGGTGGGTGAAACCGTGGCAGGGCAGAGACGGTGGGATGCTTAGCATTACATTGCCTGGCAACTTCACACACTCCCAAGGTAAAACCCAAGCGCTTGTCGGAAGGGTTGCAGAGTACAGAGTTGATCAGTGAAAACAAGAGGATGAAATCACTGATGAGAGGCACAGAGCTCCAGGATGACTCTCACACACAGTCCCCTGCCCTTCCCCTGAGGAGGGACTTGTGCCTTTTCCTCTGGTTGCAGACCCTGGCACTGCCTGTGAGCTGCCCGTCTGACCACCTCTCAGCCATTGCCACCTCCAGGGCTCAAAGGCACCCAGGCCAATGGGATGCCCAAAGCCCCTCAAGACTCAATGAGAGGGGGCAGAGCTGATCACTCTACCAAGCGGGACACATCTCTGTGTAACATCAGCAGCACTCACCAGCTTCCCCAGTAACGCTGCCTCTCAGACCGCCTGCCCCAACACGGCCAGGACCCTTCTGGTAAAATGTGAAGCAGTTTATCATCCTCCTCTCTCAGGTCAAGTTAATGCCTTTTGAAGACTTGCTCAGTATTGATAAAGCAAGATATGTCCATTCCAGCTGGAGGTGAGGAACCTATTTTTAAAATATTTCTTATGAATAGCTCTTGAGCAAAGGCTGCATCAATTATTTTTCACCTTGCAGGTGTTTTCAAGGCACCAAATGCTACAGAATGCTGTATTCACACCTAAATGAATAAGGTGAAGCCCCAGTCCTCACCGAGCATCGCTGTCACACCGACGACTCAAGTCAAACCTGGCAGGCACCCACAGCTCCATGTGGAGCCAGCTCCTCCAGACGTGAAGGTGAATGGCTTTTCTTGAATGGCAGGTGCTGCTCAGCTCAAATCTGTCCCCTTACTCCACGTCCCAGTCCCTCACCAGACTTGCACCACCCATGTAAGCTGGAGAACAAGCAGAACTCGGAGGGTGGTGGGTCACATCGTCTGGCTCCCCCTGCCCTCCCCTGATACCCCACCACCCCGACTGCGGGGGGACTCACACGTGGGTGGGGGATGATGGACCGCCGTCAGCCGAAACACGGGTCCCCACACCAGCTGGGGACCAGCCGTGCCCAGCTCAGCCCAGCCAGCACTCCGGGCGAGGATGCTGAGAGCCCTGCTCCCCGTGGAAAGGCTGAGCACCTCCCCAGCAAAGCTGTGTGGCTCCTCTAACCTTCAGTCAAACTCACCTACAAAGAGCCACCACTCGAGATTCCCCATGCACTGATGCACTGGTATCAGGTGAAGAGTTTAATAAAGAAAATGTAAAATATTTCACACACGCTCCCCCCAAACACTGACATTTTAGGCACAAGAATTGGAAAGAACAGATGAGATAATGCCGAGTGAAATGGTTTAGAGGTTTCAGATGCATTTATCTTTGCTGCTCTCTTAAGAATGCCAAATGCAGTGAAATCCAGATCATTAAGCCATAACTTTCCTTACAGAAGTGCTTTCAGTTAAAGTCTCTGCCTTGGCTCCCTTTCTGAAACGATTACTTCTGCTGCATTTAATAATATCAGAATTATTTTTATAGATTTTTTTTAATCTTTTGTTGCTCTGTGTTTTAAATTGTTTTGCAGCTCCATGATTGTTCCAGAGCGGCTGCTGCTTTAGAAAATCATTACCATTATCAATAAACCCTTTGAACTTTGGGAGGAAGGGAACAGTAATACATAATTAGAGAAGATAAGAACGATCAAGCATATTTTTCCAGGAAATAACGCACATGATGCTTCAGCTGTAATCTGTTCTTCAAACCCATCTATATGTTCCCACACAAGCAAACTCAGGCTGTGGCATTAAACTTCAGCAGCCCTGGGATCTCCTTCCTCATAACAGCCCCCTCGGAGTGAGTGCAACACAGAAACAGACCCAAACTCCCTCTTCTTTTTACAAAAAGACTCAAACGGCAATTTCATTTTTCAATTGCCATGCTGCTGTTCACGCTGCAGTTCTTTTTTTAGCTGTTCTAACTGCTCTCAACCCACAACAGAAAGAGAGGAAAAAAGGCACAACCCAAGCCGTACGTGTGCGCGTGAGAAAAAGGGTAAAAGCCTGCGTTACAGCAACGCTGCTCTCTTGGCATATTTCAGACAATTTTTCAGGAAGCTCTTGATCCCCTCCTCTGTAAACACTGCACGGTCAAGAGTGCCGCGTGCCCCAGGAGAGGGACAGAGAGCCCGGGGAGAGTACGGGGACTCCCTGTGAACAAAGATGATTTAAAGACTCCAACTTTGGGAGTTGGATTTCAGGCTGCTCCTCGGCTGCTGGCTTCCCCCTCACTGAACACGTTGGGTACAAACCCGCCTGAATTGGGCAGCATTAAAAAAACCCTACAAGTTCCAGCAGAGATATAAAGCTGTAGAGATGCCGAAATCAACACAATACCTGAACATAATTTCTTTTAACTCCCGAATGCGTTAGCCTAGGATTACTTGTGTTCATTTATATTCCTAAAGTGTCAAACGAGAACAATATCATTTTATTCTCCTTTCATGGATCATTAATCTAAATTTAACTCTGCTTTGCAGTCTGCTCACAGAATTAGTAACTGGAAGCTGCTTTGCATTTATCTGATAGTGCCGGGCTTGTTCATCAAGGCAAACTTCCAGCCAAAACAAACAAGTGAAAAAAAATATCAGTCACGATAAGCTGCTTTCTATCCTTTTTTTTTTTTCTTAAAGGAAAAAAAAAAAAATAATACCTGACGAGAACATAAAGCAAAGGGTTACCTCACACTGCAGAAATGCAAGTTTTTAATAGTCCATGCTCTGGCAGCCCCTGAGAAACAGCAGCGGCGGCGGCGGCGGGGATAAATCCAGCATCCACTAGGTTCTCACAAGGCTTTGGCTGCGCGGCCGAAACCGCAGGCTCTGCCTCCAGCTGACGTCAAGGCGGCTGTCACATGGCCCAGCGCAAGCCCAGGGAGCACCGGTTGTCCTGGCAACCCCAGCACTGCTCCCAAATTATTTCAATAGGTCATCTGTCATAACTGCCTGCACGTTGGAACCGTCGCGGGCACCCGGACAAACCCAAACACCGAGGGCTCGCTGGGGCTTGGATGCGCTGGGGGGGTTGGTCCCATCGCTGACACTCTCTTAACCCTGTCCCCCTAAGAAAACGCGCCTCCCTCTTCCTCTTCCTCCTGCATCCCCAGCCTCCGGCAGAAAAAAAACCCTTTATACACTTTGGTTTGCCCAAGCAAAGGGGCAGAGGCGCTGCCCTCTGTGTGTATCATGGATGATGCGCAGCAGGGTGCTGCACCCGCTGGCTGAAATTAGGGTCTTTCAAAATGATACACAGCTGAGGTTTTATTCATAGCCACAGAGATGTGTTTTTGGTCCCCAGCATCTCTGCCCCAATTCGGGGAGAGGCAGCAGCGGTCCTTGACGAAGCGATGCGGGGTGGCAGCCATGTGGGGTTGTGGGCCAGCCCTCCAGGGTCCCTGGCCAGCTTGGCCTCATGTCCCTGAGCCTTGGCCACCGCCCCCCCCTGCTCGCCTGCCCCATGATGTTTTTCCCTCTGCTGCTGGCAAAACACCCCGGGAAGGGGGATGAAGCAGTGCCTGCCTCCACCTGGCTCCGGCTCACCTCCGCAGCCTTATCCTGCAGGCAGAGACACGACACTGGTGTCTCAGATTTCCCTGTAACTCTAGCTAAAATTCACTCCTTCCCCCAAATTTCCGTTTTTTTCTCTCTGCACATCACCTTACCAGAGCAGGCACCAGGGGCAGGATGTGGGAGAGGCCGGGAGAAGGGAGAGACTTTTCCTTGCAAGAAGCAGGGAGGAAGGTGTCAGCCCCAAGAAAACACTCCTGTGCTCACCTGAGTCAGCACTGGTGACCGACTGGTGCCCGGGGTAGGAAATACGGGCAACCAACACCAACAGGGGCTGTGGTGAAAGTGGAAGAGGATGTAAAGCTGCGTGGGATCTGCAAAGGCAAACACCGCAGCATCCTCAGCTGAAGTTGGCTTTGGCCCCTTTGCAACATGCAAAAGGGAAAATATTAAAAATGAAAAGACAACCTGGAACGGGGCATAATGGGCTGCTGGGGAAGGCTGTCCCCTTCTGAGGCAGAGGGAGGGTGGTGGGGATGTGGGACTCACTGGGGGGACCAGTGAGACCCATCGCCCTCCTCTGCATCCCTCTCCCGAGTGCAAGAGCAGCAAGTGCTTGGGATGTCCAGCTCAACATCAACAACATCCAGCGCTGGTTTATGTAGCATTTAGTGAGACACGTGTCTCTCTCCAGCAGAGCTTACAAACCACCCTCCCAGCACCATCACTGCACTGGGGCTTCCCCAGGCAGTTCGTATTAGGGGGGCAAAGCCCCCTGGGATCACGAGTTGCCCTCCAGGCCTTGGTGCAAAGCAATGAAGGGGGTTCAAAGAGTTATTACAAAAGAATAAAGCAGCCCCCACTGTCTAAAATACATGCCTTAAAAAGAAAACATTCACAATTAGCTGGGAAACCTGTGACAGTTTAAAAGAACAAGAATAATGCGATGAATTTTTAAAACCCCACTGATTACTACATGTGTTACATATAATCACGCATATTAATCCAGTATAGAAAGCTGAAACTTCATGTCAACACCCACCAATAAAACTGTACCATAACATACAGATGTATTTTGTCACTTAGTGGCAATGTTTGTACAATGCAACAGAAAGTTTGGGGTCCCAGTTCAGAAAGGTACCCTTCAGCGCTGTGTAGTGCGTTACTTTCCCTTAGTCTGTCAAAAATGTGTGCACCTGGGGGAGATTTTAATGGCTTTGATTCCTTTAAAGGCCCTTTCACAAAAGCAGACAATGCAACACACGCATTTGAAAGGTCTCAAAATATTTTGAAAGCATTTTGCTCATGCCCTAAAGGGCTGGCGGACGTGGCCGGACAGGGTCTCCCCCAGATCTCCCCACAGCAGCCTCCCGGGGACCCCTGCCCTCTCTAATCCCATGCAGCCTGGTCCTCCACACCTCTGACACACGGGTGTGCAGAGCACCTCTGCCCTCCGGCATAAATATAACCCTTTCACCCTCTTTTATGGGATATTTCTACTTCAGGGCAAGAGCCCGGAGGAGATTTTTAGCCATGCATGGTGTTTGTAAGGTCACACTAATTATATGTTGTGAAGGTTATAATTTTCAGCCAGTTGAGAGATGCTAAGTGAAATAAAAAAAAAACGGGCCAATGCTCTGAGAAACATATGATAATGGCAGCCAAAAGTGTGCTGTTCCCTGTTCCCAGGGCTCGGCAGAGGTCCCGCTGTGTCTCCCCACCGATGGTGGCTGCAGAAGACTCCTCCATAGGGAGATTTTCTGAATTTCCAACTGAGATCCCTACTTCTCCCCAGTGCTTGCTGTAACTTGCAAAACTAGGGGCAAGGAAGACCTTTACACCACACAGATGGACACAGAAATGAAAGCAAAAGGCCAAAGAATTCTGCTAAAAATGGCAAAAAAGCCCACATTCCCTGATTTAGCTTAACTTTGCCACGATAAAACCCCCAACGCCAAACCAGTCTCTTCAGCAGTGGCAATCAACCAAGTGAGCGCAAAGCAATGAGACACGGGCACTGACTGGAAAAATACATAAAAGATATTTAAAGGCTGAAGCCTGCTGAGAAACTAATGTGCTGCATCCACCTGGGACCATGGTATGAAGACTCACAATCCTCCTCCTGCTATGGGGACGTGATGCCTTGCGGACAAAGGTCTCTGTCTTGCTTGTGGGACCTTCTCCCTCCCTCCCACCCCTCCATGGTTGAGGTCCAGGGTGGGCACTACCAGAGGACATCAGCTGGCTCCCTCACCCTTGGCGTGATGGACAGTCTGCCAGAGCCTGACTGACCACAGTAATATATGTTATATATATCATAATATACACATAGACATCTCTAATACCTAAATCCCCCTGTAACATACATGTATCAGGACCTATGTAATAACTTACACACAGACACAGTACTACAAGGTAGGACACAATCCAGCTTTTCCTCCCCTACTTCTTTAGGCTCTACAGAGCTAACAATAGATAACATTTGTTTGCCTATGAAATAGAAGACATGCAAGGAGCAGAAACCCTATATAGGTTGATCTTTGAACCCACAAAAGACTAGATCTTCCCTGGTGGCAGTCCCTGCTCTCAGATCGGAGCCACATCCATGTAAGCAGCTGAGAATCTACTCTTGGCTTTCCTCTTACCAAAACAACACTTAGAAAAGTACTTCATCTTGAAAACTTCCCTCAAACATCCATGACTTTTTACTGTTTTTGAAAATAAAAGGAAGAAAAAAAGCAAGTAGGCACTATTTTAATGTTTTTTATATATATATATAAACAAACCACATGTGTTTTGCTAGCCTCTGCAGCTTGCTTTTTGAAAGAGTGGCTAATGTTTCCATTGGCATCGGTAATATAGATAAAAAAGAGACAGAACAAGGGCTCAGCAAAACATTTTCATGTTGACTTTTGCTCTTGTAGAAAAACAGGGTGGAAAAAAAACCCAGAGGAAAGACATTTTAGTTTTGATACAGCTGACATGGCACTACCAGCACAGGGGGAGCTTGAAATAAAAACAAGAAGGGAAAGTGGTTCAGCCCGCCCCGTTTCACTGATGGTGGCCCAGTGAAAGGATTATTGTTCGAGTCAAATCAGGTGGAAGATGGTTTCCCAGGAATGCAGCACTGTAAGAAAATCCTACGCTCTCCATATATCTGTCATGGCTCTTCAGTGCCACTAATTCCTGCTCCCAGGGAGGGTCAACGATTCCCTTTTTGGGTTCCTATCCTTTGGGGGTTCCCCCAGCACCCTTCCTAGCAGTGAGAAGAGCCACCGGAGCCGTGTGCTGGGAGGGTATGAATGTGGGCAGCCAGCACCCATTCCCAGACAAAGACCTCTGAGGGGTGCTGTGGTGGGGTGGTGGAGAGCTCTCGCACCACAAGCTGCCTTTTTGTGATATATTTTGTAGAAAGGATCACTTGGTCTGCAACAATTCCTCTGTCATTTGAACATAACTAATGCCATCATCTATCTTTAGGCAGTATTAAGTCTCAGGACAGAGGGAGATCTCCTGAGATATATGTAACAACTTCTAACATGATCTTTTAAAACTTTTACTTGCCCCTGCCTCCTCACAGGAACTGATCACTTTTTGAGGCTGCTGCATCCCTCCTGCATCTCCTCCCTACATCGATGTGCCCTCTCCTCTCCCTGTCCATTCTCCTGGATTTCCCTTGCCATGCAGGTCCAGTTCCTCGCCCTCATTCTGCACTACTTGTTAGACTGAAAAAACATCCTGAAACGTAAGTTTCATGATAGACACTTTCTGCCACCTTCCACATCTTCCAGGACCACATCTGCTCTGGCAGCTAAAAGGAACCAGTGCCCATTTCCTGGCCCAGAGACTCGGTGTCACAGCCCTGCTGGTACCTGTGGCACTGAGCATCACACCCAACAGGGTGGCATCATCCCTTTCCACCTGTTGGGAAGGACCTTGAGTCTCTGCCATCTCCCAAACCACAGGAAAGAAAGCAAGATGAGTTGGTGTTGGTCACCATGTCAAATATTTGGCCTCTTGGCAGCAGCAAGTGTGCTGGATGGGAGACACCCTTGGAGGGATCCTGCCTTGCTGGCACACAAGCACCAGGAGACAAGCTCAAAAGTCTTCAAGAGAGCAGATGAAAATGGAAAAAACTCTTAGCTGGAAAAAAATCCCATCATCTAGTAACGACGATCAGTACCTCCTAAGGGACCAGCCAGAAGAACTTTGCAGCAGAATGTGGATGCTTTCCATCAACAGATGCACTTGAGTTGTGTGC